GTGAGATGGTGAACACGAGGGAAAATTTGAGACAATATCACTAGTGGTTAGTGGTATCACGAAGGTTAGTTATGTAAGTTTCAGCTGTACTATGATATGGTGCGATGACACAGCGGAACAAGTGATTCTTCATGAGTGAGAGTGTATGTGTTGAATGAAGCTTACCTGGGTGGACATCATCTGCGAGTGTGGGGGCGGGGGTGGCTGGGGGTGCTGGGGGGATGGCTGTGATGAGGGGTGTGTGGGCGGAGATGGTCGCATTGTCGAGTTGTTCTGCAACAAGCAACGCAAACGACAGACATGTAGCAACACTGCGATCCAGGCAACAGCTAGACTAGAAGGCTTGGGAATGATTGTGTTAATACTATGTCGATCAGAGTATCTTGAGAGTTACCCAGAAGTTGTAATTAAGAAAATCATTCGGATAATATCTCAGTCTGTCGTTGTACAGTTCGTTTTCGTTCTTTTCGTAATTACAACTCGTGCATGACGAAAAACTTCACTAGACTGTGAAATGAGACATACAAGAGTACAAGAAGATGCCAATCAATTGTAAAAATGTACAACATTTGTAGAACGTAAAATGACTGTCGGAAAAAGTATGATGATTCTTAAGCATTACAGGATAACTATATTAAAGAGATCTAGAGAGAAATCGCAATGCTTACATACTGTGTAGCATTTTATCTTGATCTAATCTAGAAGGGGATGGACACTTTGACAAGCGACGGATGCATGATTTTTCTCTACTTTCCCTTAATATCCAGAGATTTTTACGTATTTTTCCATTTTCTCATATAAAGTCGACGTAAATGTTATGATTATCATATATTTTTATCATATCAACGTATACATATGCGATATATTAAATATATTATTTATTATATAAAAAAGAACAGAAAAAATATTAGTAAAATACCAACGATGAAGAACACGGTTTATAGTCTCCTCCTTCTAGTTGTTTATTGTACAAAATTGTGAAATTTTATATGCATATTTATATATTATAGAATTGTATCGTTCTTTTCTAATTTTTTTCGCGTCTTAGTTAATATAAAATTTAATCAATATCGAACTAATTTCTTAAAATAAAACAAACAATTCGTGGAACTCTTGTGAGAAAAGACTAGACTACACTCTAAGCAGGCTTCCATGTTAGTTATCCCATACATTCTAAAGAATATAACTTGAGCTGACTATGTAACCCACAGTGAAATGTCAAGACATACTTTGCAAATGCAGTATCGCGAACGGCAATATATATCTGTAATACTTTTACATACCACTGTAACACGACCAGCACAAAGTAGTACACTCGTCGCAATATGCTTGTTGTATCAAAGTATTGGTGCTAAATATATTCCAACATCTATAGTCCTATTCTCTTTAGAATTTCTAGATTTGCGTTTTTTTATGCGCCAAGGAGATGAAATAGTGAAAATGGTATAAGAACGCACATACAAGTATTAGATAGAGAGCGGAAAAAAAGTAAGTACATATATACAGTATAGACAAGCATGACATAAGAACGTCTTTTGAATGTACACTTGTTTCAAAACAAATTGACTATGGCTAATGTGTACATTTATTGTATAAATAGGGATATTGAATAACGATAAAAAATTGTATATTATATATATAAACATATATATAATTCATCTTCTCTAAAGTAAAAATATATATATATTTCTTTTTTTTACGGAAATATTACTCTGTACTCCTTCCTTTTTATGTAAAATGTTTCAGGAATTGTTATAACAATTATATCTTTCAGTAATATTTAAGCGAATAACGTAAGCTTTATTTGTTTATCTGTACTTCCTATTTCCACTTGATCTCTATCATATCAAGTAAAACAAACTTCCTCTTTATCCCTATTGTACTAGATGACTGTTAATAACCAAATTAGCACAGTAGTAACGGATCCCATTCATGATTTACAGATAAAGTTAGTCTTGATTGTAAGTCAACTTCTGTATTGTGCTTTGAATCAAGTGTAAGTTTTAATAAACAAAGACTATGCATGACAATGAACATATACATGTACTAGATTACATGACTATGTATATGATACATGACTATGTATATGATACATGACTATGTATATATACATATAAATGTACTAGATTAATATGTAAGAGACTAGTTTGTTTCATTTAAAGCGTTTATTTTAATTTCCTTTTCCCGAAAGTTCTAATGTTTCTCGTGCAATCTACTATAAAAAAATTCTAAAAAAAATATAATTTCGATAAACCATTATAATAAATCAAATTAATTTTAATCAATTTTCCAGCTCATTGAAAACTAGAATAGATCCTAAGATTGAATTTTGCAAAGGCAATTTTTCTTTTTATTTGAAATCAAAATCAAAATATTAGTAACCCTTTCTTTCACTGTGTACTCTGCAACTATAGATTGAGGAAAATGAATGGTATTGAAACATTTCAGTATTATGAAATGAATAGAGACTCACAGGGAAGAAAGCAGGAGGCATAGGACCACCAGGCATTCCATCATTTGGTGCCATTTGACCGATTGGAGATGGTGCCGGTCCAGCATTCTGTAAATAATTTTTATTTTCTGTAGTTCGTGACAACCCTCTCACTTTCTTTTAAAAAAAGAAAGCTTTATTAATGAATATATTATGCTATCCAAATATATAAGAATAATTGAAACTCTCTATGCGTTTTAAATTCCACTAGTTATTATGTAATACTAATATGTTAATATGCGTTAATATATTACACAAGAAGAAAGATTAATATATGCACAAAGGTCGGCACAATAACCTTAACACGTAGTGACTACGATTTTCAAACGTATACGCATAAATAAATGTACAGTCAAAAATCGTAGTCACTACGTATTAAGGCTATTATGCCGCTCTCTGTACGTATGTTTAACTTAAGCTTTATACATCAATTGAGCATAAATCTGTCGACGTACGTGGGCAATGCCATTGACGTTGTAAGCACTGTTCACAAATCCCTGGAAACAGAACATTTTACATAATATCCAAGGTTTCAAGACAGTCAACGAAGGACTGAATGGCAGGTGTCAGTGCGTAAGTGTCAATGACAAATTCCGAAATGCAGCAGCATACGTAAATATATACCAAACGTCAGTGACATAGCTTGACGGAGATCCAAAGTTGGCTGTCTGATACACGTCTACAGGAGCTGAATTTTAGATTTTGTCGCCGATACTCATTGTATACTTATGCACTAACGCATAAGTTACAAGCGATTAGTGCCTTTACTAATCCATTACGTATCTCAAATCTACTTACGTAATCATGAAAAGCTTTGGCCTCGCTGCTATGTTCACAAGTGTCTCTTCTTTCAGGTGCTGCACAGTACAAGTCCCAAAACACACTGAAATTATTTCGAAATTATCTTACATCACACGAACCTCTCGATAACAGATACGATATCTTTACGAAAATATGCACCTGTTGGCTGATATGACACCGGCAATACTTACCACCACCAAGAGTGTAAAAATCCAGGTGGTTCACCAAGTGTAATATTTTTCTCCCATCGAATCTGCACAGTCGAAAGTTATATTATAGCAAACGGCGCTTCAAAATAATAATAATACGATACAAATGTCAATTGTTGCAATGTAAAATTATTACCTCTGAGAGAAAGGTCTGTGCTGCTTTCTGGGCACCTACATGCAATAAGTATTCATACACATAAAGAGCCAACCTGAAAAATAAAGCAATCGCATCAGCCGCGCTGCAAATCAAAGGCTACTAAAGAGAAATTTTTTAGGGGATAGAATAAAATGAACTTGGAGACAATGAAAGGCGCGAAATGATAGGCGAATTACGCGAATAGCAATCGGTATTCCTCGGCATATTTTCATCGTTCCTCTTAGAAAGCCCGCACTTAATTCGAGACCGCCTTTACGTCGCATTTCCTTACGGGATCGTCCGTTAAACGTAAAGTTAATGCCTACTTTCCCCGCGTAGGCAGCAACGCGGTAATAATGCATCCAGCGAACACATTGCTCACGACGACGAGACCGGCTTCGCCGCCGAAACGATACAAACATGGCGCAGAATTACGTCGACGATCCGCGAATCGGAGCGCGTATTCTGGGTGAACTGATAGCGCGCGCGGATCAATCGCCTTTACGTGAAAGCGGGTTACGCGCCACGAATCCCGGGTAAACACAACTTCCTCTCGCCAGTCGATTTCATCTCCATCGCAGAGATTTTTTAGACTCAAACATCTTTGAATTCTTTGACGCTCCTTTCTCAATCGCTATCTCAAACATCCTTCGAATTTTTTCATTGTTTACATTGTAGCCAATTAGCCGTACTATGACACGTGAACAGGCTGACAATCGATTGCATTGATAGATCAGTAGAATCGTTAATTTTCGATTTATACATTCACTAGAACAACTATTATTCAAAGAGAAAAGCGCGGTTGCTGCGACAATTAATTGTATCAGCGATTTTGACGAATTAACTTCGTTTAGAGATCTCACCCCAAGTAGAAACGGTATAAAGAAAAATGCAGCTAGAAGCATGCTATTTTCGAGTACACTTTCTATACTTTTTACAATTTTTTCCTTTCCGTCAAGTCCGCATTAGACGAATGTTTCTCATTTTACATAATGGACAGGACAGAGTCGAGCGGTGCAGACGAAAGGAACAGACCTCGTACACAGAGATCAACTTGTTATGTCGCGGATGCAGAAAAGTGTGAAACGACAGGAACTGCATCGGCGATCGCGGCGCTTCGAAGCGATTTCAAATTACCGAATGGCTACTCCGATCGAGGTCACTTGCCAGCTAATTAACTATAGCTCAACTTTCTAAGGGAGATCGCGGGAGATCGGCCAAACTAATCCCCTCGTTTCCAACGTCGCCTTACCTTACATTTTTTAAGTGTACTCGCGCGAAGCCCGTTTCGCGCCATTACGACGGCCTGTATCCGTCGCGCATAGTACTACGCACAACTGGGCGTCATGTTTGAATATCATAACTATGGGTTACTCTGATGCAACTTTCGTGCGACCTTACGTGTGCGCGCGTCAAGAATCGTATGGAGCTCTGACTTCATAAGGATTACGGCAGATACGATACGCCTAGCGTAGGTATGTCCGTTCACCGAGAGTCGAGATTCGGAACGACGCGATCGCGCTCATGACGGCATCATCTCGCAGGGCTCGCGAGTCCGCGTAAATTTTACCTGACGCGCGCGTCGACTTTACCGCGCGCGCGGACGATCGAGCCTTTCGTGTGTCAAGACTCGAATCGATCGACAGGGGGAGGGGAAGAATAGCGAGAGGAGCGCGGAGGAAAGAGGGGCACCCGTGACGTTTGCAAAACGGGGAAAAGAGATGGACGAAAGAACACAAATCGACGGCTCATCGGTAAACTGGATTAACCCGACGAACCGGGTTCTCCAGTCGCGATGTACATACGCGCGGATACATGCTCCAAGCAAAAAGAATCGATGAGTGGCGGCGGCGGCGACGGTGGCAGTGGCGGCGGCGGCGACGGTGGCAGTGGCGGCGGCAGCGGCGAGGGGGAGAGATCCGCAGATGTGGAAGGAGTGTGAGCCGGGGGAGAACGTGGGGAAAAAGGGGGAGGGAGGAGAGTCAGGAGGATGCACGAGAAAAATGGAGTTACTGGGCGATCAATGGCCGGCCGGAATTTTCATGACGGCTCGCCGATTCTTCCTTCCCGTTGTCCCCCTCGGCCACTGTCACCCCGCCGCCCTTTCCCCACGTCGCACATTACGCACGATACGTACTTTTCTCTCGCTTGCGAGTCCGAGGGCACCGACGACCCTTTCCCTTTCGCGTACATCGTCGTCGTGATGGCCAGTCAGTTCTTCCAGTGTAAACACAAGCGCGTCGCCAAGTTTGTGCGCGCTGGACAGCGGTGAGTGAAAAGAACGGCGGATCGAGTACTGCGAGTGTATATATGTGTGTGCACGCGCGTAGCTGTGTGCGTGCGTTCACTGTGCTCTCTCTCGCTCGCTCGCTCTCTTTCTCTCTCACTGTCTCACTTTGTCCCTAGAGCGACGGTGTCTTTTCAACGTGCTGCTAGTCGCTCGGCTGTCGACGACGTGCGACTCGTGTCGAACGAAATACGAACGTACACTCCACCGAGAAAGGTGCGCACACTTCGGCGCGCTCGCGCGTGCGCTCTCTCTCTCTCTCTCTGTCTTTCCGTCTCTTCCTCCGCTTCTCTCTCCTTTAGCTCGCCGCTTTCTCTCTCTCTCCCTCTGCTTCTGTCCGTCTCATTCACTCACTCTCTCGCAGTCACTAGCTCTATTTCACTCGAACTCTGCTTCGCTCACTGCGTGCTGTAAGGAGTCACGGGAAGTGAGTTTTATCTCTTTCTTTTTTTCTCTCTCTCCCTCTCACCCCACCGGTCCTATCCGTTCACTCGCACGAGACGAAGGTCTTCTCCGCCCCGCTTTCGTCGCGTCGCGTCACAACCGTGGCGAAGTAGCCGCTTCTGCTGCTGTTGCGCGGTACTAGGACGACACCGTGTGACGTACTGTGGTGTCGTCGTTGTCGTCGATTCAGGTGCGTTGCTGAACACGTCCCAACGTCGTCGTCGTCGTCGCCACCGTCGCTCTCATGATTTCTTTTTTCACCGCGCTCCCACTTCATGCGATCATCGTCATTTTCCGGGATACCGTAACTCCGCGTCCTCCTCCTCCTCCTCCTCCTGGTCGTAGCTTACGCTCCCTATTGTCTCCGATCACTGCAACACCGCACCGCGTCGCTTCGTTCTCCGTCGACCTCTCACTTCTCTCTTCACTTTTCGTCGCTCACTTTATCCCGGACGCTCACTCGCTGGTCGCTGTCGTCGATTCGTTTTGCCTCGCCTCTTCAACGCGCCGCCCATCACAGCAACGTAAACGAACCGTATTGATAACGACGCGGCCCCGAATTAGTTTCAATCGCGCGTCCCGGTCGCCGCTTAACGCCGCGGTTCTCTCTCGTATTCGACAACTTTCGGCTTTTGTCGCGCGTGCTGCCCGAGAGCGTCTCGCGGCAACACGAGAACGGTGGTATCACTGTTTTGCGGTGTATGTGGCACGTAACGTGTGTATGTGATTCGCGCTATCACGACACACGTAACCAGCAACGTGCACGTACGCAAGCGCGCGTATATGCACACCCAAGCAGCAGCAGCGGTGAGATAGAGAGGACTGAGGAAGAAGGGAGGAATTTACCGCTCGTGTAAACACGAACAAGTTCGGAAGTGTGACTCGTAGGAGTTCGCACGCGCTGCAGACTACACGCAGATGAGTCGACGGTGGATACATACGTGCCTCTTTCTATCTTCCTTCTTCGTTACATTTTGTCTCACTTGTTCACGGCTGCTACTCACCGCGCTTCTCCTTGTCTCTCTCGTTCTGGCTCGCAATATCGATGCGCTATCTTCATCTCTCAAGCGGACTGGGAGTGGTGCGCGCGCATCGCTGTTTGTTATGTCAGGACCGTACGAGCACGAGCGAGAAAGCGAGCTCTGGGGCCCTCTCTGCTGTTTGTCTTAAGAACGCGATGTTTTCCTATCGATATGAGCGAATCGATGTTATCGCGGCGCACGGATAAAATAGGACGCAAATTTAAAAAAAGGGGGATTCTTTATACGAAAATTTCTTGTAAAACTCCTCTGTTAAATGCCCGTGAATTTCTCGTCAATCTACCGTTCCATTGGCTCCTTCTCGATAGTGCAACGCACATCAAAAATAAACACTTGTGACGTATCTGGGAGACGAAGAATTTTCGAAATATTATAATGAGACCAGCAACGATCGTTGTTTGCAACTCGGGCAGCAGTGCGGCTGCACAGCATATATCTGAGCTCGACGAAAGATCGATTGACCTGCGTTCGTACCTGCGTTCAGTCGCACAACAAGTCCGGACGACCAGATCCTTCGTTAAATACCGAAGGGAATAATGATCCTCGATCCTTGCATATTTTTCTCTTTGTGCAAATGTCTTGGCCTGAAGTTATTTTTCTCTTTGTGCAAATGTCTTGGCCTGAAGTTATGCTACCGGGAAATACTTGGAGTCAAAAGATTCCGAAGTCACCGCGAAAGAACTGTAAACAATAGGCGAACGTCGTGAAGCGCGCTGATCGCGTTTGCGGAAAATAATCACGATTTCTCGAATCGCCGATTGCATGTCCCACGGCCAGCTGATAACACGCGCTGTTTGCACGCGTCTGACGCCGTTTGCACGACGACGAGAAAACGCGGCATTCGACTGCGCTCGACACGTTACTTCTTCGCGCAAACGTGTAATTACGATACGCTCATTTCTCAGCCGATCTTGCCTTATTAATCTCAGGCTTGTCATTAGTAACAGCAACAATGCAACAAATCGCCGCAGCGCGCAAGTCCTAGACGGATTCTTCCGCAATTATCCCGACCGCGAAAGTCTTTCATCGTTGCGGACGCCGTTACGGAAATCGAACATTTTCTGCGGCCGGCGATATTACGGCAGCAAATCTCGGTTGCATGCTATGCGGAATCGTAGTGAAAAACGCGCTGTTATTGGGATAGGTCGATATTACGAATTGCAAAAGCACAGACGTAAAACAAGCGAGAAATTATGTGCAACACGTTGCGGCGGCACATCGTTGAATAAAGGACTAAGGCGCCGTAAAGGATGCGCAGGGCGGCGGGAGAGGCGAGGTAAGAACGGCGCGTTAGAGTCCGGCTTTTGGCACAGCACTGACTGTATCGCGGCGTCTGATTGGACAGCGACGGCGATGCACACACCGTTGAAGTAGCCGCTATCGGCGTGCGTATGTCGACAACCGTGCAAGCGAGAGAGGAAGCGAAAGAGCCGACGGGTGAAGAGAGCAGGGTCCGATTATGTCCGAGCGCCGGCGGACACGTCCGACGTGAAATAGCCGACAATTGACGCGATAGAGAGTTTGGGAAGAGGAGCGACAGGCGAGAGGAGACACGCTGTTCTCTCGGCTGTACCGCTTCCCCTTTTTCAATTTTATCGACGTCGCTATGCGAAAACTAGATGAGAGAAAGAGAGAACCGATTGGTAATTCTTCCTTCCTTCTATCCATCCTTCCTTCCTTCCTTCCTTCCTTCCTTCCTTCCTTCCTTCCTTCCTTCCTTCCTTCCTTTTCTCCCTCCCTCTCCCCTTCCTTCCTTCCTTCCTCTTTCTTCATTTTGTCTTTCTTCTGTCGCTTGATCACGAGACAAACGACGGCACGAAACAAATCGCGCGCCAATTGCCCGTCACCGGGAAATTAATCGACACCCGTGACATACCTTGGGATTACGAACGTTTAGATTGTGCTACATTGTTTCGAGAAGCTATATTCTCCTGCGATTGTCACTTCTCATGCGGGTGTATCTTCCGACGTATGCGATTCGACAAGACTACCGTCGCGGAGAGATGCGTTTCTCTCTGCTGCGTATGAGACGTAGTTTCGAACGTGGGAAAAGATTCTTCTCTCGCTTGCTTATGTTCCAAAGATTTCTCTCTGCTTTTGTGCACGGCGCAAAGAGGATATTACGCAGCAGAGGGCATGGTACTTCACTTCTAACGAGTTCTCGTCTGTTCTGTGAAGCAGATACAAGCTTCCAGTCCCGCGAATCGTGGGGCTGATTTCGCACGCGGATCAAGTACAAGACAAGCAAACGCGTGCTTTTGTCACTCGAAATGCATCTTTTTGTGAATATCACGAGAGTCTTATCGAAACTTAAGCCGCGTTACATTAGAAACGTTTCTAACACATCGTTAGTCTTCACTCGTAGCTACCTGTAACACCTATGCAACATCGTATTTTGCTTTCTTTTACTCGCGTTAACCTGCATGGTGACAATGGCCCGTATGAGTTCTCTTTTCAACGATAAATGAGTCTCTAAAAGAGGCTTAGGAGCCACCTGATTGGCTGAGAAGCTATATTTAAGGCACTTTTATCGGTAAAAGTGGGTTCAGAATATGGGCCATTGTCTCTGTCTCTCTGGTTATTTTACTTGGATTCAGACCTTTCTTAACGGCCCTTTCACCAAGGTATCAAAAGGCACGTTTCTTAAAAGAAATCGCAGATCCGAATGTGTTAACTTGACGACGGTTAAGTCGGAACTTTTGCATGGTGACATGTGGTCTGTTCTTTCGCCTGTACTGCTGCACTGGTACAATAAGTTAGAGTGAGACAAATATATATTTATAGGGATATGTCAAGAGAGATTGAAATCTTTATAAAATTATTGAATCTACAAATATCTTATTTAATGCGAACCATATCTCAAGCCATATTTTAGCTTGTAACACATGAGTTCGTGCCAGACAGTTTAATATACTATTCTATAAATATAAGACATACCTGATCACCACGGAATTCCCATCCATCAAATAGTTTGTCTGAAAGAGCAAGAAACTGTCTTGCATTATCAACAAATTCTTCCCACGTAATGGTACCTGGGCCATCCATTATTTGCAGAAAAAACTGAAAAGGAAATCCAATTATTGTACCAGTGCAGCAGTGCAGGCAAAAGAACAGACTTAGTGTATCTTCCCGAGTGACATTAAAACCTGATAATGTGCCTACGTTCTGTTTCTTGTCTTCTGTCTTTTTCTGGCTTAAAGCTTAAAGTTTGAGTCAGAGAGAGAAAGAGATAAAGAAAAAGAAACAAGAAGCAAAGAACATATTATAGATCAAGCTTAAGGGTCTGTTTTCTATTGTTGAACTGGCTATACTACATTAAGATATATTTAAACGCATTGTCCGACAACATTCGGACCTAATGTTTTGGAACTTGTACTTCGGTACCTTGATTGAAAGGGCTAACGAGTAAAGCCTGAAAGATAAGTAAAATATATACATATATATATATAGAGAGAGAGAGAGAGATAGAGAACTGGCCACACTAGTTCTCTTATTTTTCTTCCACCGAGTCTTATCTGTGTATACGTCTCTTTTCGTTCCATTCAGCTTTCAAATAGTATTCAATAGTATTCAGAAAAGGATTAAGTGCGAACACAACCTTTCTCTGCGCCAGCCAAACCAGAAATGTAACTCTTACGTACATGGAAATAAAAGGTTATATCGATAAATTGACACTTGGGGTTGATCGAGCACATTTGTCAAATTTCAAGAATTTTTTTTTTACTTTAGTAATTAATAAATAATAAAATTAGTATGGCAAAATCATAAGAGAAAGTAAGCTAAAAACAAAGGTTATGTGTTAATTACACAGGCCGACATGAATTTTTATCTAGAAACGGCAATACGTGATTCCGAAGGCTTTTGGCCATCCAAAATCCTTTTTGGTAAAATCAAATCCGCAACCCATCCAATTGCAGTCGATTGCTGCATCGGTCCCAAAGATCGCCTTATGGACATAACCTTTTTATTTCAGCGTTTTTTGCAAGAATTTTGGACATGTATTTTCTGATGTCGTTAATGAGTGCTACGGCGATGGATCACAGAAACCTTAAAATATGAACTTTCTCAATTCTTTCAATATTTCAATTAATATCCTAAGGAGTTAATTCTATTGTGTAATATTGGATTTCCTTTTCAGCTTTTTCTGCAAATAATGGATGGCCCAGGTACCATTACGTGGGAAGAATTTGTTGAGAATGCAAGACAGTTTCTTGCTCTTTCAGACAAACTATCTGATGGATGGGAATTCCGTGGTGATCAGGTATGTCTTATATTTATAGAATAGTATATTAAACTGTCTGGCACGAACTCATATGTTACAAGCTAAAATATGGCTTGAGATATGGTTCGCATTAAATAAGATATTTGTAGATTCAATAATTTTATAAAGATTTTAATCTCTCTTGACATATCCCTAAATAAAATATATGAGATTTAATATTAAAATATCCAAAAAGAGAGTGAGTGATTTAAGATATAATTGGCCATAGTTACGCAAGAACGACCTAATTTACAGAATTATGATTTTAGAGTTTTCGTGTTATCAGTAAACAGTGCATATTCTACATAAAGCAAACTAGATCCCAGCTTTATAGGCGTCTATTAATTAATTAAAAAACAGTTTTTATTTTCTACTAGTTGCCGTTTTTTTTATCCATTTTTCGAGGATTAAGCTTGTCAATGAATATCCTTGAAGAGAAGGAAATCGATCATGCTTGACTTCTCGAACGATTGTAAAGAACTTTAGTGTTGTCTATACTTTTAAAATCATATATCATAAACTTTTATTTTTCGCAAAATGGACTTTATGTAGGTTGGATTATTCTTGCATAACCACAGCCAATTATATCTGAATACATGTGCCAAAATCCAGAGCGACATAAATGTATCATTTTAGCGATATACAATATCTGAGCGCGATTCAATGACAATATGTGTGGTCTTTATTTTATTGCAACAATGATATATACGCTCAGGATATTCCTGGACAAGCATACCTAGTTAGGAAAGCCGTGTGCTTCCTACCAGACGACTCTATTCTAAGGAACGGCGAAGCGACCGACGATAACGACAACAATGACGACGACATCGAGGAATTTCAAGCGAGATTTCAGGAGGATCCGTACGAAGCTCCCTCCGCGGCCGAGACGCCCTTCATTACTGAACACCATATATTGTGGTCTGTGAGTTACGGCGTCCCGATTCTTTTTTTCAACGGATGGAAATCGGGTAATTTGGCATGATGTACTAGTCGAAGTAGAAGAGGAGAAAAGAAAATTCGTTGAAAAAAATTTATCCTGAAATCAATTCTATTAATTGAAAAGAAAGTTTCGCGCAATTCCGACACCCGAAATTGTCGAAAGTAGATTCGGTCTTCGTATTCGTGATTTCCATTGAGATGATCGATCAACGGGCTAGTTAAAAGACCGACAAAAAACGTCGGTGCTACACCGTGTTTGTTTGCATTACCGCAAATATTTGGGAGGCACTCGGGCTCATTTTTCTACAAGGATAAGCGTGAGTTTGTCTTACCTGAATATCTGACAGCATATTTAGCTGCAAGTCTCTAATTCTAAACAGTGACCGGCTAATTCTAAGGTTTGTTTGTCTTTTACGAAGGTTTCGCATAGTGAGACTCGGATGACCGCATTTAATGCGAAATGTGAGACCGAAATACGCCATCTCCCTGTCAGAAATTACGGTTTCCCCGAGCTTCGCACGCCTCTCATTCGCAAAAAAAAACAATCCGCGTTCCTTGATAAAAGTATTATTCACACATGCGTGAAAAATGCATATATTATCCGCATAAATTGTCTGCGATTTTATCGAAAGATATTTGTCGAGCATGTCGACTAGAGAAAGTACGGATGGAATATTGTGGAGTTTCGCAAATCCAACCTGTGGACGTGCAGCATGCGGTCGCGGATACATTCGTGTTTCCTCGGTCGCGTTCATCGTTTATTGATTATAAACGCAGCGTGTTCGCCTATTTCAATATTCGCGCAAATATTCCGACGGCATAATTTATTTCGATAACACATTTCAACGGGGCGGAAATGAACGTAAATTTGCTCGAATGGAAATAAATATATGCATGGCATTCGAGTTAATTAGCGCCCATCTCTCTTTTTTTTTCATCAACGAAAGGAAGCAATTGTCGTGAGAGACGTCATATTTTTTCTTCTTTTTTTTTAGATTTCCCCGGCATTAATCCAGTGAGCGTGAACGAGGCTCAAACGGTCCACAGTTCCAAATTAAATTATATGGAATTATCGCAGGCAATCCACCCTATCGTCGGCACTCCGTTCCTACAATTACACCCGTGTCTGTCGCAGGAGTTGCTGCGAGGCATGCCGAACAGGTGAGGGGAAGTATTGAGTAATAATAAAATAAAGATACCAGAGATCGTGTTCGCGATATAAGAGAGAATTCGCAGCTTGGCGGAAAAGCAAAAAAAACAAAGGCAGGAACTAATCAGAATCGCTGGTAAAAAATCGCTGGTAAAAAAAAGCAGAAACTGTCGACTACCGTCTGACCACCAGAATTCTGATTGACTTCTGCCTTTCTGCCGAATTCTTCCCAAGAATCGATCGAGTACGCTTTCTTGATCGAGGACTTTGTAAATGTTGCAGCAAGAATAAACTCGTCAGTTGGCTGAGCTGCGTGGCGTCTGCGGCCCTAAATCTCAAAATACATCCGGAATACTGCAAGTTGACTTGCTGACGCGGTAGATCGTGCCGAATCATTACTACTACTACCGCAATAATAACAAACACTTCATTTTGGTGCTTCTCATCTGAGTGTGTCCGCAGTTGTACTCGTTTAAATATGTCTTTTTGCTCAGAAAAGAAAAAGATCAACGAATATTCCAACGACGATTGTGAGCGTCAGCTAAGTGGTCATTTACCGGTGATCGGTCATTCACTGTTGCCGGTGCATCTACCCCGCGTCTCGAGACCGGCTACGAACAGCTCGATCTTATCTCCGTTAGAGTATACGCGAGTGATTCCAGTCACGAATATTCGACGGGGATCGGAATAGAATCGCACAACGATGGCGACGCGGCAACGGCAGTGGCGGTGGCGGCGGTGGCGACGGCGGCGGCATGGCGTCACCGGATCTAGCATTGACCCACGTCGGCCGCGGGCCGGCTAAATTGCTCGCAATTGGGCGCGTTCTCGCGCGCGCGAAGAGACCGGAGCGTGGAAAAGAGAGCGCAATTAATGCGACGGGCAGTGCGTGCGCGCGCGCAATTAATTTGCGCAAGGACAATTTGCGCGCGTCCCCGGAATGTTTATTCCCAGCGCGTACGGTTTTTACATGGACGTACGCGTCTCCTCCGCCATCTCGCACTTGTATTCGCGTCGCACGCGTACAACAGTGTTTCTCAACCGCCGTTCACGCCGATGCGATTCGATGCCTCGCTCAATGCGCCCGGCAATAATCCCGTTATTCTCGTCCTCCTCCGTACGCCCGTCCCGTCAATGTCCGCCTCGCGGAACACGTGCCGCTGCCTTAAATTACAATAGCGAATGCACCGTGTTATTTATCTGTTGACCTCCATTTAAATCAGCCTCGCGATACTTATTGTACTTCCTCTTTCGTGTAAAAAACGCTGAGGAGCCTATCGCGCGTTATTAACGGCGGTTAAGGATGTCACTACGCGCTACTAAAGAGACAAGTGCGTTCCGGTTGAATGGAAAAGGAAATTCGGTCTGTTGCACACTCGCGAAGAAATCGATCGTAATGTTTACACGTATCTGTGTGAATTACGCGAGAGCGTATTGCTGAGATACACCGGCTTCCTCTGTTTAGTGAGCTTAGGCGATGCTCATTCAGATTGACCCCATTTCTATTAGCCCGAGCTGGAAGATTAGGCTATTGCGGATCATTAGAGAGAGAAAGAGAGAAAACGGCACAATCTTCTTTCTTCTGTGACGTTGCTTAGCGAGTATGTAATCGACCATTGCTCGCTAGAGTTTGATGTTAAATTGTACATATCTTACACCTTCGCTAGTCGTGCATATTTGTGACTTATAATTTAACCGAATCTGTTGCAAATACTTTTGACTTCTTGCACGAATAAACGATGCGACGGATGATAAGCAACGACGAGCGATAATCAGTCAAATCCACACATTGCCGGGAGCGATACAAGCTGTCTGCAAACGCGGAGGTAGGAACGACTCTAAAAATAGAAGAAAGAGAGAGACAGACGCGAAATAAATCGTGTTCTCTGTTTCAGATTCAAATTTATTGACGCCGCGAAGAGCGTTGCATCGGTCTGTGCACAGGAAGCTACTTCTCATCTTCACTCGTAAACTTCAGAGGCGGCGCGATACCCTTCGCGCGGAAGAAACTCGAGTGATCCGCCGAACAGCAGTCGCTGGCTCCACCTAAAGGCGACCGAAGCTACGCGGATGCAGCGAAAGGTATATTCCCCGTTGCCCGCGCGCTTTTCGAACCTGACTTGGCTCGAATTACATCGCGTTTGACCGCCGTGCGACTCTCAATCTCGCGTGCTCTCGCGACCGTCTTCGCACACGATGAGTCGACGTCACGTGAGTAGCCCGTCGCGTGTCGTGGACTATTTCGTCGTGCGACATAGTAGACGTTTGTGCGTATCTGAGACGAAGGGACGACAAAGAATGTGAAAGAGAGAGAGAGAGAGAGAGAGAGAGAAAGAAAGTGAGTCGTCACGCGCATCGCTGTGTTCCATAAATAGACGAATATTCGAAGGAACTGTCTCGCGCGATGTTGTATTTCTAAAATCGATACGATAAGAAGGGAGCAAGAATTTAAAGGGGGCAAAGGAAGACAGTATTGCGCTCCCTTCGATCGCATATGTCGCTCGCCAGTAACAGACGCTGTATATCACTTGAATTCCACTTGAACGGAGAAGAGACTGCCCCCCTCTTACATGTCGCCGTTAAAACATCACGATTCTTTTCTGTCCCACCAAGGTGTGATATCATTGTAATGATAACGCGAGACGAGTGAAGACACGTACAGCGCGCCACGCTCGTTATCTAAAATTCAGAAGGCGTTATATTGATCCTCACGATGTATCGCGTGGGCAGTACCTCCTTACGTCTGATTCGTTGCATTCGTCAGGTGGAAATAGAAGCGCGCAGATAAAATGCAGGGTGTCAATGAATTTACCATGGCGACGCGATCGGCAGGAGTGGGAGAGTGCGCGAGGCAAGATATGCGTGTTTTACATTCAATTTCCCTCGAATATTCGCCATGATGCCGTAAAACACCCTTCCCGCTCCCCGAAGAGGACGTCGCTCATTAATTTCGAGGCGCAGATGACAACTTTTTTTGTACGATTTCTTTTCTCATTTACAGCTTTAAAAATTCCTCGCCGTCGAGTCTACTAAATTGATTCTCCTCAGTGGATCTCGTGATAACCGGGACGGCTTTTTCTGGACGTTCTTTTTTTTTCCCCAAAGAGATCCTCCTGAACCGTCATCATGCAACAGGCCATAAAGTTCATTGCGAAAGCGTCGTGACAGTATTCGCGAGCATGACGCGGATGACACCAGATCGACGTAAGACAAAATTGAACGGAGATAACGAGAATTAAATTGAGAGATGACGATCCGCCAAGATGTACTCGCGCTACAAAAAGGCAGTACAAAAAGGTGCTCGCGAGTCCAAAGGAGAAAGGCGAGAGACCTCCGTCCAGCGGAGGAGTAATCGAGACACATGCACGTGCGGCCGAAAGCGAGACTGCCGCGCGCTCGCTCGTGAATCGTCACGATTTTTTGCCTCACACACCGGTCGCCGATTTCTCTCTCTCTCTCTCTCTCTCTCTCTCTCTCTCTCTCTCTCTCTCTCTCTCTCT